AGAAGGGTTTTATAGCTTCCCCGAGAGCCGCCCGTGGCCATGTAGCCAAGCTGCAGATACAAAGCTCGATTTATGTAACTACAAATAAATGGCGAAGGAGTAGATCGGTGGCCACCGCTTCTCTCCACCGAGTATGGAGGCCCCAGGTAGGTGCCGGCCGGTCGAGATCTCAGAGGCCTCACGGACAGCCACGCGGGGCCTTTCTTGCCCTTGGCCGGCTGGTGGCTGGGAGGCGGCTCTCCCGCTCGGCTGCCTGGGAAGCGCTTCCCTGTTAGCCGCGCAAACAAAACCCCCCCGCGTCAGCCCCAGCTCGTTTGCACTCGTCGGGGATGGATTTTTCCCGCGCCGCGACCGGGGATTGCTCAGTGGATGAAGAACCGATGCGCAGCTCGCCCGAGGGGCGCGGGTGGAAACGTTCAGACACGCAAATCGCCAGCCACCGGACCTGAGACAGGCCCCCTTCGCAACCCCAGGGCTGGCCTTAACATTCTTAGCTGGATTTAAATATTGAGGACTATTCGGGAACAAGAAGCAAGGGAAATACATTCTGTCTGGTAGGGAGGAACCCAGCTCCATGAGAGCGGTGAGGGGGGAAAAAAATGCTTTTTTGTAAAGACAGCTCGGCTGATGAGAAACCCACCTACACGTGCCTGCTCCAGGCTGAGCGTCAACGAGTATTTCTGTGAATATTATCACATATAACCCAGTGCATTTGTGTCTTTTCAGCCAAATAAGTAGGAAACCAATGGCTGGAGAACACGCGATTAAGGGGCCCTTACTGAAAGCCTGACTTTGGCCTTTCGTTTTAAAACCCTGCCCCAGAAGGCAGGAGGAGAGAGAGGAGCCCGGAAACGAAAGAAAAAAATTCTGCACCCGCGGGACTCGGCCCAGTTGGCTGACTTGGGCCCAGAAAGGCCAAGGCCTTGCCGGCGGTATCTGGATTCTCCTTGGCCCCAGCCGAGGGGCAGCGCGTCCTGCCAGGACCGTTTGGACCTGCGCCGGACCTGCGCTGAGCAGGGATGAGCTTGTGGCGTGGGCTCTCAGCCCTCTCGCGTTCCTTCCCGCGCTCCCTGAAATCTCTCCCCACTCGGTCTGGGTCATCTCACTTCAGGGCAGGTTTTACCCTAAACGCCATCGCTGTCTGCCGCTCCAGCCGCCCGAGTCTAGACAGACGGCGGCGGCGGCGGCGGGGCCCGGTCTTTCTCTTTGCATCTTGCTCTGTGTCACCCGAGGAACAATTTATTGGTCTAAAGCTGTCTAATTCCGCCTCTTTGATCTCCTAGCTTTCTTGCTTGCTTCGTCTTCCTTTAACTTTCTTATGTTTTTATTTCCTGCCAGAAAGCGATGCTATTTGGAATATTTGATGTTTCTTCCCTTCCCATGTTACATCCTCCGTTCTCCAATCCAGACACGCTATCATCCTAATGCTTCAAAAAGGGCATCCCCGGATATTGCCCCCCCCCCCCAGCCCTTGTATCCCCAGGGGAAACCAGCAGGCGCCCACCTGCCCGACAGCCCCTGCCTCCCCACCCACTCCCCTGGGCAGTCCATTAGGCAGGAGCTGGGACTCCGCTGCATCCGGGTCTGGACCCTCTGGTTGCCTTTTGTGCTCCTGGGACCCCCTGAGAGGGTGCAGTGAAGGGGGGGGGGCGGCCTGGACTCTCTGAAAGTGATGGGAAGTGCTTTGTACACAAGGAACCAAACTCTATAATTTAGAGGAGAATTTCCGGGGCAATTCCATTGTGAGGTCGGGTTTATGGTGTGCAATCGAGCTGAGCAGTAAAAGGCATACTGACCTGCCGGCTGGGCTTCCAGCGAGGCCTGAGCAGTTTATGAGGCGTTTAGGGGAAGGGTTTGCCCCACCACACTCCACCGAGCGGTGGGCAGCAGGGACTTCGGCTGGTCCAACCCTGAGCAGGGGTTGGAGGCTTGGAAAGGTAAGCTCCATGCGTTGGGGACCTGACGGGAGGGAGGGAGACTATTGTGTGCTCCGCTCTCTGTGAGCCAGTCTTGCAACTGTGAAGACACCAGAGTCTGGGTGGCCATTCGAGAGGGGTCCTCTTATTTGTTTTGGTGGTCTCCAAAAGAAATGGAAATCCAGAGTGGGCTGAAGTCCCCAGGCACCTGGACCCCCTCTCTCCTTTCCAAACTGGCTCTACAGTATGTATTGCTTGTTCCCAGGCACTCAAGCCCTTGAGGAGCTGGCAGAGGCCCATGGGTGGCCCCCGTGACGTCTTCCAGAACAGTCCCAGCGCTAGGAGTACCTGGAAAGGTGTGGGGCCCAAGGTTCCTCCAACCTTGGGGAAAGAGACTTGGTTCCCCTTGAACCAGGGGGAAACCAGAGGTTGCAGGGAGGACAAAAGAGTAACCAGCTGTTTCTTAAGCTGCCAGAGACCAGCCAGGTGCCCCGGAGCGAATGCACGTACCCTGCCAGGACAGCGGTGTCCAGAAGGAGGGAGGGGAACCCCATGTTAATAAATCTGTTGGCAAATGAGGCTCATCAATAGATAAATATTTCACTGCTTCCTTTAAGGCGGATAAACAGTGTGCTGCCGATTAAGGAAAGGAAGCTGGGAGACGTTGACTTTATTCGAACCACATGGTTCCAGCTTGCGGTGGCGTTCTCACTGCAGCTGGAAGCGACACTGCGCCGGCCCCATCTGGATCAGAGTCTAAGCCGGCCTATCGCCCAGTGGACCTGGGCGTGGGGGGCGGGTGGGGGGACGCGGGCAAAGAACCCATCTGCCCAGAGCTGAGACTTGCCCGTGGGCTGCTGTAGGGCGGGCGGGTGCGCACTGCGCAGAGACCCTCCCTAGGCTGGGTCAGTGGACAGGACGGGGGTAGGGAGGGCCCGAAGGCTTGGTCCAGAGTTCAGTGATAGGCAAAAAGGAGGCTGTGCTGGGCCGACCCCGCGCGGCCTCTGCAGACTAGACGTCCAGGTTGTGGTGGACTGAGCGCTCGCACGGAGCCTCGGGGTCCTTTTCCCGCGGGACGCGCCAGGCGGGCCAGGCGCGGGCAGATTCGTTGACCACATATTTGAGCCTCTTCCCCTTCCATTCTAGGCTGCCGCTGGCCCCGCGGAGCGAGACCACCTGTGAGGGCTGCTGAGATTGGCGGAGGCGGTCATGTGGGCGGTCACGTGCTGCGGCGAGCTCGGTCCAAAAGAAAATGGGGTTTGGTGTAAATCTGGGGGTGTAATGTTATCATATATCACGCTACCTCGTAAAACCGACACTGAAAGCTGCCGGACAACAAATCACAGGTCAAAATTATGAGTTCTTCGTATTATGTGAACGCGCTTTTTAGCAAATATACGGCGGGGGCTTCTCTGTTCCAAAATGCCGAGCCGACTTCTTGCTCCTTTGCGCCCAACTCGCAGAGAAGCGGCTACGGGGCCGGCGCCGGCGCCTTCGCTTCGACCGTACCGGGCTTGTACAATGTCAACAGCCCCCTCTATCAGAGCCCCTTCGCGTCCGGCTACGGCCTGGGCGCCGACGCCTACGGCAACCTGCCCTGCGCCTCCTACGACCAAAACATCCCCGGGCTCTGCAGTGACCTCGCCAAAGGCGCTTGCGACAAGGCGGACGAAGGCGCGCTGCACGGCCCGGCCGAGGCCAATTTCCGCATCTACCCCTGGATGCGGTCTTCAGGTAGGCGCAGCAGCTAGGCGGGCCGGGTGGGCGGGCGGACGGACAGGCAGAAGGGAGCGCGGGGCTGGGGAGCGCGGAGAGCCGAGAGAGGCGACTGGGAGCCGGCGGCCCCGTGACTCCTGGCGGCGCTGCCTTTCTGGTTTTAATTAGAGTCGAGGCGCCATAGCGTGGAGAGCCCGTAGCATTGTATGTAAATGAGGCTCATAAAACTTTTTATGACCCAATTAATGGGTTCGATCCTCGTAAATTTATTTAACTCCATTTGCCTTGGAATTTTAACATTTTGCTCGCTATTCTCTCTTTCTCTCTTTCTCTCTCCCTTTCTTCTCTCCCTCCCTCCTCCTTTTCCTTTCAGCCTGGCTTTTCTTTCTCAAAAGCAGGAAGAGCCAAACCCTTCATCTGGGCCCCTCTAACGCCCCAGTGCCAGGGGCCATTTAAAGGCGGGGTGGGGAACCAGAGCGGAGACAGGGGGTCGGAGTGCCCTAGGAAGTTCCGGGGATGGGGGGCGCAGTCTTGTAAGGAGGAAAGGCGCCCCTGGAGAGCGGACCGCCCGATGGTCACCCACTTGCCTAGCAAGAGGCGGGGGGAAGCGGTCCAGCTCTCCTTTGAATGGCAAAAGCGCAGCGTCTCCCACTTGCCCACACTCTATATTTACAATTTCCCTTTGTCAGGGGGAAGCAGGACATTGTGGAAGCCTAGCCGGCTGGAAAGGGCGGTTGTAAAGTTGGGATTCTGCGCCTTGCCTCCTCACAGAGCTGCCTGCGCGTCTGGCACCGCAGTTGGGGTCTTCCGCTAACACTCCCGCTCCTCCCCCAGCTCCGTTCCGGGGCGCGGGCGGAGGGGGACGCGCGCCCGGGCTAGCGCTGGGAGAAAGGTGCAGGCTCTGGGATAGCGGTCTGGCTAATGCACTGTCGTGTGTCTGTGTTGGCTAAACTGTCCGTGTGTCCGTGTGTCCACATGTCTGCTTCCAGGGCCCGACAGGAAGCGGGGCCGCCAGACCTACACGCGCTACCAGACGCTGGAGCTGGAGAAGGAGTTCCACTTCAACCGCTACCTGACGCGGCGCCGCCGCATCGAGATCGCCCATGCGCTCTGCCTCACCGAGCGCCAGATCAAGATCTGGTTCCAGAACCGCCGCATGAAGTGGAAGAAAGAGCATAAAGATGAGGGTCCGGCCGCCGCAGCCCCCGAGGGCGCAGTGCCCGCCGCCGCCGCCGCCGCCGCCGCCACCGCCGCCGCCACGGACAAGGCCGACGATGAGGACGAAGACGACGAAGAGGAAGACGACGAGGAAGAGGAATGAGGGGCCGAGTAGGGGCCCTGGCTGCACCAGACAGTCGGGAAAGCGTCTTTAGAGACTCACTGAATTTATTTACAAAAGTGGAAAAAATAAAAAGAAAACGTGAAAAACAAAAACAAAAACAAAAACAATCCCCAACCTGCACCCATCTACCCCATTACCTATCCCAGCTCCCACCTTTTCTGGACTAAGCAGCCGCCTAGACTGGGTCCCCTTGGGGATCCCTCTGTCCCAAGGACTCCCAGCAGACACTCTCCCTACCCCGGCCGCCCAGTTCTGCACTGGCACGGCTAAAATACTACCTAGCACAGGCCTCGGCCAGAGGCAACCCCAAACTACCTATGGGCCCAGTCCCCAGTAGGCCTCCACTCCCAGGAAGCCCAGACGCGTCCCAACACTGGCAGACACCCAGCACCTCCCCCATACCGACAAGGACCTGATTTTCTCAGTACTACCTACTCGCCCCAAACTACCTATTTTGTGCTCACTGGCTCGCCTGCTACCTAGTGCCGGCCCCTTCCCCGGCCAGGCCCCTCTTGCTTCTGCCCAGCAGCCTTTGGGGTCCCTGAGGCTGCACTGAGAAGACGCTGGGGTCCGGGGACCAGGGTATTGGCTTCTATTTAAATTGAAAAATAATATATTTATTCCAAAGCATTCTAAGTGCTGCAACCTAGAATCCCTCCATCTCTGGTCTGGGCACCCCAAGTTCAGGCCCTTTACTCCCACTTCTGGAGGGGAGCACTCCCAAGCTAGCTGCAGACCTCTGGGTTAGCTTTGCTTAGTAGGACTGCAGAGATGCTCCCAGCCTCCTGCACCTCCCCTGGCCCCATGTCCTACTGTCCAGCCATGTTGAATATGTACACCCTGACTTTTCCTACAATAGCAAATATTGTATATTTGAACAAGAGTTTTTTTTTTTTTTTTGTCATTTATATAGTCTTGGAGGTCATTTGTAAGGCAATGTCTTGACTTGGGAAGGATGTGTTAATGGGGTGACTTTGTAGCATGGTGTGTTGTCTTGAGCTAACTTTATAGCTGGTGGGGAGGGCTAATGCCCTTCTCAATGCCCTTCATCTCTTGTGTTGTCCTGCGTCCCCCCTTGTCCCTTTAGGCTTTAGCTTGGGTTCCAGGAATGGGAAGGCATGCTTCCTGTCTTGCCCAGCTAACCGTGTTTTATGTAACAGAAAAATAAAGATGCTTGGTGACAAAGAAACATGGACTGCTTTATCTAGGGGGGCCTGGGAAAGAGAGGTGACCATGGCTGGAGAGCAAGCCCTGGGTATGTCTGCATGCCCAAAGGGGTCTTGGGGAAGCAAAAATGGAAGGATGAATAACGTCCAGGTGTTGAGTGTCCATGGTTTGGTGTTTATGTGTGGCAGGTCCCTTTTTGTGTGGATTTGTATAGGTGCGTGTGTACCTCTTTTGTATGTGCATTTTTATGTATGTGTATATTACTACAGGAATCCATAATTTTATGTATTTCTGTGTCCATAATTGAGTGTGTGTGTTTCTGTGTGTCTATAATTGTACATGTGCATTTCTCTGGAGATTTTTGTCTTGGTTTTGCGTGTGTGCACAAACATCTCCCGGATCTCTAGAAAACGGGATCTTCGGTAGATACATTATAGTCTATGAATCTCTCTAAAAACCCATAAATTCCGTGAGCAAATCCAAAATCCACCATTTCCCCTACTGCTGTGGGGTGGGCTTGGGAAGGGGTATTACCCTGCCAATGATCCTGAATTTTCCATGAACCCAGCCCCATGCTAGGAGGTGGGATTCAGGCCCTTTGACGCAGCCCCCCTCCCACCCTGCATTCAGGCAAAGCAAGGGCGCCTGGGCACAGCACTGCAACTGAGGGGTAGAGGAATGGGCAGGGACCGCAGACCCCCTGGCTGCGGAGCCTTGGCGGGGGGCGTCCGGGTGCGGGGAAGGATGAGGGTCTGCGTAAGGGGCGAAGGGCGATGGGGACAGCGCAGAATAGCCTGAGCTCGGCGGGCAAAGACCTCGACTCCAGCCTCCTGCCTAGGTTGGGCCCGCTTCTTCTTGCTCTTTTAATAAAACCCGGCCCAACTGGGTTTGTAAAACCTGCGTCCCCAAGTCGGGGCAGCCTCGGTGGTAAGATGGCGCCGGTGTAAGAGCTGCCTCCTCTTAGTGATGGGGAAAGGGTCATAAATCCGTTGTTGTTTATGAAAATTTACAACTTTGCAATACAACTTTATGAGTTGTTCGGCCCTTCCATTGGCCGCTGTCGGTCATGTGGATGGGAACCGTGAACATGAACTTTTTTATAATTTCCCTTGCGAGAATAGAGCCGCATTCTTTTGCTCCGCTCCGTCCTGCCTGCTTCGGAGCTCTGCCTTCCAGCCGGGCTTGGCTGCGCTTTGTCCGGCGATGGCGAGCGAGACGAGGCCCCGGCCCGGCCCGGCCCGGCCGCTCCCGCTGGAGGTGGGGCGCGTCCAGTTCCCGGCGCCGCCGCGGCCGCTTCGCAACTCGCAACCTGGCTAATTTCCTGCGTCCTCTGGCACCAGGAAGGAGGACAATTCGTCTCCCCGGCTGCCCAAGCGACAGCTGTCAGAGGGGCAGGAGCTTCTGGGAGCCGCCATCTGAAGGTGAGACATGTGGGGAGACAGGAGCAAAGGTGGTGAGATGGCAGCCGGCGCCGGCGGCGGTGGGAGAGGGCACTAGGGCGGCTTTGAAGAGGGGCATACTCACCCTCGCCCACACTCACCGTTCACACTTGCCCCCCTTCACACGTGCGCGCGCGCGCGCACACACACACACACACACACACACACTCCCTTTCTCCTCTCTCTTGCTCACCATGGCAGTGAATGCCAGCCTCCTTTCAGTGGCACAGCGCCCTGGCATGGGGCAGGAGCACTGAGGTCTCTCCCCTCTTCCCCAGCGACCTTGCCGAGCCCAAAAAGAAGTGGCCCTGCCCTCCGCGTTCCTTGCCAGTCTCCCGGGTTTGGATTTTTTTTTTTTTTTTCATTCATGACCCAGTTGGCTCGGTTGAATTTCCCAACAATTGAAGACAGTTCCCGACCTGGGGAGGTGGGAAGAGGTGAGGGCAAAGTGAATTAATCGACCTGCTTTTTTATTAGTGTCAACACAGCACCTTGTATTCTGAGGGACTCGGTTTCTGGAGAGAAAGGTAGAATGAGGGGGAAAAAAACAAACAAACAAAAACTTACTAATTCGGCCAGGTTCTTCTGCTGATTGCCTGCTTCCTTTCACGCGGTTTTCCGATGACAGATGTGTCTGAAGCGCGGGGAGAGGGACTAGGTGCGTGGGTGGAACTCTGTGTTGGAGGAGAGGATGGGGTTAATTGGCTGGGTGTTGCTTGGCGGGAAGTTTCGGTGCAGAGAATGTACTGGTGTTATTGAGAGTGGCAGGGGCCCGCAGCTAAGGTTGAAAGAAGGACGCAAACCGCGTCTGGGCGATAGGGGGACCCCACCACCCCCACATCGGCGCAGCGGGCCGCCGACCGCGCGCCCCACTTTCCGCGAGCCGGGAGGGGACTGTGAAGCCGCCCGGGAGGCACGGAGGGTACCGTGGGCACTGACTTTATGTGGAGCGGTGGCACAGACCGTTGCTTGGCCTGGGTGCGCGTCGGCCAGATTTGCCCCGGGAGCTTCCTGGGACTGCGACCAGAAACGATCTTGAGGTTCTGGGCTCGAGTTCTTTTTGTTTGTTCTGTGGTTCTGGTCGTTGTTGTTGTTGTTTTTCCACCTTAAGATAATACCTTGGTGTGCATTAGAAAATTAAGAAGGGGCTGTAGATGTTTGGGACGTCCACCGGCGCTGTGGGTGCACTCAGGGCGGATAAAGCTGCGCGTTTGCGTCGCAGGGCCCCGGGCTGCCTGACTGCGGCTGCCGCGGGCAGATTATTTATTGCGACCGCGCTGGGCGCTCGCTGCTGCCACGCTGTGGCCGTCGCCGGGACCGACGCCAGCCGCAGCCCCGCGTCGTGCAGCCTGGCGCGACTGCTGCGCGGGCCCCTCAGAGATTCCCAAGCAGGCCGAGCAGAGGGGGGCAAGGGAGGACCTGAGGGGCGGCCTCCCAGGGCCTGTCGGGAACCTCCCCCGCCTTGGCCACCCCTGATAGGAGCTGGAAGCCCGACTAGACTCGGGTCCTCCCCCTACCCCCAGCGCCATGGAGACTGGTTGCACAGGCGGCCTGGCACGTTATGGCTGCTTCTGTCCAAACTGCGCGTCCCAAGGCGTCCCCGGGGCGCACGCTGGTTCGGGGAAGGCGCCCGCTTTGGGATTTTCAAATCGGAGAGACCATTCCTGGCCCCGAGGCCTGCAGGCCTGGCTGGCCCTGAGGAGGATTGGCTATGGCAAGGAAGGCGGGCTTTGGCGTCAGGCGAGGGCCTGTGACAGGCAGAGGCCGCACCTGTATGCTATGGGCTCTGGCCTGGGCTACAGATCCAGGCGGCCCGGGTGGCCCTCAAGGTCCCCCCCACACACCGGCGGGCCGCCCTCCAAGCTGGCGGAGGTCGAGTGGGCAGCCCAGAGAAAGGGCGGACTGTGGGGCCCTGCTCACCATCCAGTCCCCCTTGAAGAGCAGCTGAAAGGTAAGTAGACCTTCTCTGTGGCTTTGACCTAGAAGAGAGAGTCCTGATAGCCATTCTCACTATTCCAGGAGAGGCTCCCTCCAGCGTCTGGGGCTCCTATTTTTGCCTGAGTGGGTGTGTGTGTCTCTCTCTCTCTCTCTCTCTCTCTCTCTCTCTCTATATATATATATATATATATATATATATATGCACCTAAAGCTGGTTGGAGAAATAAATTGGGCCGTTGCCAACCTGATATGTACCAGCCTTGGCTAACACCTGGAGATTTCAATTTAATTTATTTTTTTCTGTCTCACTGCCTATAGAAGCTAGAAACACAATGGTTTTTGGCTCTTAGCTGAGAAATCAAATTCTGTCATTGTCTGGGGGGTAATTATTAGATCAAGAATCTAAGTCAACCCATAACAAATAATAACAATAGTAGTATATGTAGTCAACTGCCATCACTCCCAATGCTGTGTGAGACCTGGAGGTATGAAGCAGAAATTATAAATGTAAACATTTCTCAACATCTCCCAACAGTTATTTTTGTCTTATATAATAATAATTTGCTTGACGTCACTGTCATCTGATGGTCTTGTTTAGGAAACAATAACTCAAACATGATTTTCTTTGGACATAGCCTTAAAAAAAAAAAGTTCCCTTTAAAATTTTTTACTTGAGTTTTCATTTTCACCTATCGGGTCCATTCCCTGAAGAAATTCCAGGGAAATGTTACATTCTCTCTTCTCCTGCCAGGCCCTTTTTACATATGCAAAGGAGAAACTTTCCCAGCGTGGATTGATTGGGGCACAGGGAGAAGGCTTCTGGGTGTAGACCCCATCGCGTGGGCAACAGCCACTTTCTAGGGTGCTTGCTAGGTTCTGTGGAGGCCACCCTTAGCCCAGTCCTTTCCCAGTTTTCTCCCTTTGAGGGAAGTGAGGGCAGGGCCAAAAAAAAAAAATCAAAAAGCAAGGAGGAGATTAAGGAAGTCGTTGTCAGATTCCAGGAGGGCATTGCCACCCCCAAGTCCTGAACCCCATCAGCCTGCATTCATCAGAGTTTTACAGATCTTAGAAACGTCCTCCGGAAATTCAACCAAATTGAATAAATAGTCTTTCTTCAGCCTCCACAGAATTGAGGATTTTAAAGCTAATTCAAGGGTTTTACAAGCCCAACAAATACAGTTGTAAAAATGCCATTGGAAAGATACCACGTTTTACAAAATGAGATTGATCCATGTGCTGTAAAAGTCAACTATCCCCAAGGCACACCTATCAAGCAAGGGCAGCCAGGGACACGCTTTTCACCTCCTGTCTGGGAAAGGCCAGGCCTGTGACAACGGCAAAAGCAATGCAGACGATTCCTGGAGCCCGTGAGGCAACTGTTCCCGGCACTGGGGCAACTGCAACCGGCAGGCCCCCAGCAGTCCCAGGAAAGGCAGGGGAGAGGGTACACCCCAGGAAAGTGCGGGCTGTCGGGCACCCCAGAAACCAAGCACATCAATTACCCCACAGCCTTTGGGACATCCCAGCTGCCCTCTATGCCTGGCTCGGCAGGGACCTTGGGATGCCGTGCCTCCAGAAAGAGGACAGATATTCCACATCTGGATCTGTCTCAGCTCTGAGCACTTCGGGTGTTGAGAGGACGAGTCCCAAGGGCTGGGTGAGGGGAGCAGGTTCCCCCGTTTTGCTTGGAAGCTCAGTCTCCAGGCCACTCCCCTCTAGGTCCCTTTCTTGTTGAAACCAGTGGTTTCTGGCCTCTGGATTCCTGGGTTCAAAGGTGGTACGGGGACGCACAGCTTGTGGGGTGCTTTGAGGCCAGGCGGTCGTTGGCCATTGGAGGGGAGCCCGTCTGGACTCCAAGGAGACGTGTTGTATGTGGGCGGATGGGGCTGCCAGGGGAAGACGTTTAGCCGCGATCTGGTCAGCTCGAGGTGAGCCTTCGGCTCCAGGCGGTAGCGAGGCCCAGGCCCTTGGTGGGAGTGGGAAGGAAAGAGGGAAGGGATGCACGGATTCCTAAGACGCAGGAGTGAGGAGCTGGGCGTGAAGGCCTGGTTTCTCAGGCCCCCTTCTTCAGTCCCGGAACCCGCACCCACGGGCGGGGGAGTGCAGAAGGAGGGGCACGCTCAGGGCCCTGCGGGGCGGGCAAGCCGGCCGGGAGCTAAGCCGTCGTGGTCACCGCCCCTCCCGGCGCGGGGCTGTCAGGTTTCCTGTTTGGAAAGAAAAACCAGCAAAATCCGAAAAGGCAAGAAGGGGAGGAGGAGGGAGCGGGCCTGGCGGGGCCTTTGCGGCGGCCTGGACTCTAATGCCCCTACCCCGGCCTGATTCGCACGCCCCTGCCCGGGCCGTGCCCGCCGCTGGCGTTCGGAAAGAGAGCCGGGCCGGCTGGCTGTGCGCGCCCATTAATCTGCCGGGCGGGCGGCGGGCGGGCGGGCTGGGGGCTGTTTGTAACTTTGCTGCCTCGGTCGCCGCGGTCCCCGGGGAGCGGGCTCCAGCGCTCGCTCCCATTGGCCGCCGCCGCGTCAGCTGGTGCGATTTGCTGCTGTCGCTTTTGGCGTTCGGCCATCCAGAAACAAACCAGTTCGATGACTACTAATAGTTATAGCCAGATGTACTAATACACAACAAATCACAGTCCTGCAGAGGGGCGCGCAAATGAGTTCCTATTTTGTGAATCCCACTTTCCCCGGGAGCCTGCCCAGCGGCCAGGACTCCTTCTTGGGCCAGCTGCCCCTCTACCCGGCTGGTTATGACGCGCTGAGGCCCTTCCCGGCCTCGTACGGGGCGTCGAGCCTCCCGGACAAGACGTACACCTCACCTTGTTTCTACCAACAGTCCAACTCGGTCCTGGCCTGCAACCGGGCGTCCTACGAGTACGGGGCCTCGTGTTTCTATTCTGATAAGGACCTCAGTGGCGCCTCGCCCTCAGGCAGTGGCAAGCAGAGGGGCCCCGGGGACTACCTGCACTTTTCTCCCGAGCAGCAGTACAAACCCGACAGCAGCAGCGTGCCGGGCAAAGCCCTCCATGACGAAGGCACCGACCGGAAGTACACGAGCCCTGTTTACCCCTGGATGCAGCGGATGAACTCCTGCGCGGGTAAGGCATTTCCCCGCAGCCCCCCCAAGAGAGTGGAGGGAGAGGGGGAAGGGGGCAGGGAAAGAAGGAAGGAAGGAAGGAGGAGACGGAAATTAGAAAGAGGAAATGGAAAGAAAGGAGGAAAGAATGAACAAAGTTTCTTTGGCTTTTTTAAGAGATTAAAGAAAAAGAAAGAAAAAAGAAAACTAAACCATTCCCACTGAGGCAATCAAGCTGTGGCAGAGTGAAGGCACGGCACTGGTGTCCATGTAAGGTGACACCCTAGGGGATCGAGAGGGGTCACTGCCACCCTACGTGAGACCCTGTGACAGGGGCAACCTGAACAGAGAGTGAGGCTGGAGGGGAGGGAGTGCCTGCCCACACTTCCCCCTGGAAACACCCTGCACAGATCCCCAAGTAGAAGATGGCCTTCTGCACCCATCACTGATCATTCCCCTTCACCCCCCAATCCCTCTCCTTTCTGCCCTTCAAAACCCCATGTAGTTAGAGGCTCTCACCTGGCCTCTTCTAGTGTCTCCCCAAAGCCTTGGAGGGCCACATCCCCAGCCTCAGGATTTTTTTTTTCCTCTTTCTCCTCCCTTCCCTCCTCCCCCTTCCACTCAACTGCTCACTCTTAGCCAACTTCTGCCTCCTTTTGAGGCCCTGCCTGAGTCTCACATGCCCAGCCTGGGGGGAGCCCCCCAACCTTGGGTTCCTTTGGCACCAGAACAGATAGCCCATCACAGTCCTACATTTCCAGAAACCCCAGATGGCCCATAGCTCCATCCCTTTGCCTCTGGTTTCCAAAAACTCAACAGAGAATCCTAGGACAGAACCCAGTGCAGATTTTTAAGCTTCTAGTGTTTTGCTTTAAAAGCCTTGTGTTGTTTTGTTTTGTTTTGTTTTGTTTTGTTTTGTTTTTTTCCAAGGGAGCTCTGCATTTTGCAGAAGGGCCATACAATTTGGGGGCGTTTGCAAAGATTTGAGAGGGCTGACCAGTTTTCATTTTCCAAAAAACATGTTGAGTCCTGACATGTCTGGCCACAGTAACACCTTCACGGAGATTCGTGTGTGAGTTCCGAGTGTCTACCCTACTCACAGGGCTCCACACCCATCACTTCCAGACACAAGCTCTGCACTCCCACAAAAACACGACCCAGCTACCCTGAATTAAGAATGCTCATTCTATTCCTTTTGCCTGTAATGGTTTTCTTGCAGAGCAGATTTTTCAAAAACAATAAGTTCTCACTTCAGGTTGTCTTAGGTGGAAAACATCTCGCTTGGTATGAAAGAATCTTCTCCCATCCTTCCCGATTTCGGCCTTAGACACAGCGAAAGAGGCTGGAGTGGAGAGGGGTGGTTTCCAGCTTAGAGGCCAGTGGCGCGGGGCGCGGGTCTGACTGGTTCGGCGGCCGGGATCCTCCTGGCTCACTGGCGCCCGGCCATTTCTGCCCGCAGGTGCCGTGTATGGAAGTCACGGGCGCCGAGGCCGCCAGACCTACACGCGCTACCAGACGCTGGAGCTGGAGAAGGAGTTCCACTTCAACCGCTACCTGACGCGGCGCCGCCGCATTGAGATCGCCAACGCGCTCTGCCTCACCGAGCGCCAGATCAAGATCTGGTTCCAGAACCGCCGCATGAAGTGGAAAAAGGAAAATAAACTCATCAATTCCACACAGCCCAGCGGGGAGGACGCTGAGGCAAAGGCGGGCGAGTAGACGCCTGGGCAGGGACCAGGCCAGCACCGCAACCTCCCTCGGCTTTGCCCCCTTGCCTTCGCCTGCTCCCCAACTTTTCTCCCCCCGCCTGCCCCCATCCGGGGGGCTTCTGCAGCTTCAGGGGAGCCGGGAGCTTTGCAAACGCCTGAGCATTTATTTCTCACACACACACAAAATCCCACACACAGCCAATCTCAGCGGTGGAGCGGGGCGCACTGCACACCCGGTCCCGCTCTCCAAGGCTGCCCTAGCCGGCTTCGGATCCCAGGGCGCGCCCCGAATTCGTCCCCGGCTCTTGTGCTAGCGCCTTTGCGCGCCCCTGAGCTCGGGACGCGGGGTTGCTGGAGAGGAAAGAACCTGGGCCGAGCCCCTTTTGGTGCCTGGGCGTTTTCGCCTCGGTCCCTCGCCACCAAGTCCCGGAGGGCACCACCAAATCGACTCCGGCCACTGGAAAGAGGGGGCATAAAGGCTGGGGCCCCAGCACTTTGGTGGCATCCCAGGCCGCCCCTAGACAAGAAGAAGCGTGAGGAACAAAGGGGGCCCTGAGACAGCCTTGTCTCTCGGCCCGCGCGCGACCGTCCGTGGAAGAGAAGCAGCCTCAGCTGAGCCGACCCAACCTGAGCGCGGGTGGAACTTTACAGCCCCGGGAGAGACTGGGCTCCCGAAGTCTCCAGCTCCGGATCCCGGATCCCCGCCTCCGACAGTGCCTGCGCAGCCACCAGAGAGTGGCTAAGGACCTAAGGAGGGGGCCCAGGGCCATGGGAACGGCAAGAGTCCTGGTTTCCAAATGTGCCAGGGGTGCCTGCGACGCTCAGCCTCCAGCGGGAAGTACCCTCCATGCCTTTCGGCTACATTCGTGATTCACTTTCGTCTTTCAGGACCCAGGAAAATAACTAGGAAGATCCTAGGCACTAACACGAAATGCTTCCATTAGCACCCTCATTTTACTCCTGGAGATCTAAGCAAGACCCTAATAACTCGGCCCACGGATTCCCAGCCCCCAAACAGCTTCTGTGGCTGCGGGGAGCCTGGGCCCACTCGCTGGGTTCACCGAGAACCCTCCGAATTGGGGCCCGGCTGGCTCGAGGAAAGGGACCTGGTGGTGAAGATTCTCCAGGCTGGATACTTAAAGCAAATCAAATAGCGAACTAATGACACGAAAACCATATTTGCACGAAAGAAAAATCGACTCCGGTTATAAAAGTGTATGGAATTTGACCTCGCCTCGGAGAAACACTACACAAAAGCTATCTTTAATAGACGCCTGTCATTTAAGAGCGGCAGGGACACTGTCCCTCATGCACTCACAAAAAAAAACAGAGCCGTAATTGTAGCTGCTGCTGCGGGCAGGATTTATTTCTCCAATTGGCTAAATGGCCTCCCCCCTTCCCCGAAGGTGATATCTGTATTTTCAAATTTCAGAGCTGCCGGCACGACGGGCAAAACCGACCCCAACCTCAACACAAAAATAAGAGGGGCTGCACAGCGGGGAAATAAAGTTGTTGTAAATAAAATCCAAGTCACCGTCTCCCCCCAATCCTCTGCATCCTCGCCGGGCGCGCGATCGGCAGCTGACGGCCTCACAATTGGTACATCCTAATGGAACTGCGAGGGAAATGCAATAATTTTGCCATAATGGGCTGTAACCTCAATTCGACCCCGGCCCTTGCAGCCCTCGGTCGGAAGCGGAGCGATGCGCCCTGCCTCCAGCGGGTGGCGCTCGAGTCCGACTGAACGGCGGCGGCGGGTGGCGGGCACGCGCCTGGGGCGCGCGCGCCACCCCTCTTGCCTCCACCCAACTCCCCCATTAGTGCACGAGTTTACCTCTAGAGGTCATCAGGCAGGATTTACGACTGGACAACAAAAGCACGTGATTCGAAGTCGTACCCCATATTTGGGTGCCTACGTAGGAGGGAACCAAGTACATGTCCCAGTCATTTCCATAATTCATCATAAATTGTGCAAGGGTGCTATAGACGCACAAACGACCGCGAGCCACAAATCAAGCACACATATCAAAAAACAAATGAGCTCTTATTTTGTAAACTCATTTTGCGGTCGCTATCCAAATGGCCCGGACTACCAGTTGCATAATTATGGAGATCATAGTTCCGTGAGCGAGCAATTCAGGGACTCGGCGAGCATGCACTCCGGCAGGTACGGCTACGGCTACAATGGCATGGATCTCAGCGTCGGCCGCTCCGGCTCCGGCCACTTTGGCTCCGGGGAGCGCGCCCGCAGCTACGCGGCCGGCGCCAGCGCGGCGCCTGCCGAGCCCAGGTACAGCCAGCCGGCCACGTCCACGCACTCGCCTCCGCCCGACCCGCTGCCCTGCTCCGCCGTGGCCCCCTCGCCCGGCAGCGACAGCCACCACGGCGGGAAAAACTCCCTGGGCAACTCCAGCGGCGCCTCGGCCAACGCCGGCAGCACCCACATCAGCAGCAGAGAGGGGGTTGGCACGGCGTCCGGAGCCGAGGAGGACGCCCCCGCCAGCAGCGAGCAGGCGAGCGCGCAGAGCGAGCCGAGCCCGGCGCCGCCCGCCCAACCCCAGATCTACCCCTGGATGCGCAAGCTGCACATAAGTCATGGTAAAGCCAGCCTTTTTCTAAATCCACGCGGCCGCGGGGGCGCGGCTTTCGGTCCCCCCTCTCTCCTTTACCGCCCTCTCTCCCCATCTCTCTCCTGGTCTCGCCTCTCCCAGCCCTGTGGAGTCTCTCCCCGCCGTTCTCCTTCCCCTGCTCTCCTCCTTTCACCTTCTCTTCTCTGCAGCGCCCAGCGCTCGCAAATGGGGAGGGGGGTGGTGGAGAAGGGCCGCTGGCCAAGCAAGTTTAGACGGTGCAACGGGGGGAAAAGGAAAAATGCCATATCGAACCCCAGCGCCTCGGAACGCGCTCCCGGGTCAAGCCAGCCGAGCAGGGCGCAGAGAGGTAGAGGATGGCAGTAGGGGCCGTGAATCGGGCTTGTCAGGACGGATAATTTATGAGGAGGGCTACGCTGGGGAAACAGCGTTACTAATTAGAGTCCCCGAAAAGGGGCTTGGGGGGGAATAATCGAGGCGAGAGCCGGCGGGATTCTGAAGTTTGGGAGCAGAAGGGACAGCAGGAAAGGGAAGAAAAAGAAAGCAGGCGCCCCAAGCGTGCAGGCTGGAACAGAAGGCGGCTCGCGGGGCTGGAACTTTAAGGGAGGGTGACCTGGAGGCCACTTGGACGCTCAGGAAAGGGCCTGGCTTCCGTGGGTTTCTGAGAGGTGGGCTGCCTGGGAGGGCTGTTCCCCGCCTCGGGGTGCCAGGGGCAGGGCCAGAGGGCAGGAGAGGGGTGAAGGAAAGCCGGGCGATCCTTCGGGACGCGGCTCCAGCCTCAGATGGGCCGATTGTTCCCAGAGTCCAAATTGTATTGTTTTCTCTCTAGAAAGGAAGAGGGAAGGAAATTGGGGAGGGGTGGGCGGGTGAGGAGAGAGGACTTGTTGAGCTTTTTCTCCCCTGTTCCTTGCTCAGGAACCCTGGCTCGTCCAGCTGACTTGGGTAACCAGGGGCTGAGGAGTTGGTGGCTAAATCGCTGACTTTTCTGTTGCAGACAACATAGGCGGCCCGGAAGGCAAAAGGGCCCGGACGGCCTACACGCGCTACCAGACCCTGGAGCTGGAGAAGGAGTTCCACTTCAACCGCTACCTGACCCGCCGAAGAAGGATTGAAATAGCACATGCTCTTTGCCTCTCCGAGAGACAAATTAAAATCTGGTTCCAAAACCGGAGAATGAAGTGGAAAAAAGATAATAAGCTGAAAAGCATGAGCATGGCGGCGGCAGGAGGGGCCTTCCGCCCCTGAGTATTTGAGCGTTTAAAGTACTGAGCAGTATTAGCGGATCCCGCGTAGTGTCAGTACTAAGGTGACTTTCTGAAACTCCCTTGTGTTCCTTCTGTGAAGAAGCCCTGTTCTTGTTGCCCTAATTCATCTTTTAATCATGAGCCTGTTTATTGCCATTATAGCGCCTGTATAAGTAGATCTGCTTTCTGTTCATCTCTTTGTCCTGAATGGCTTTGTCTTGAAAAAAAAAATAGATGTTTTAACTTATTTATATGAAGCAAGCTGTGTTACTTGAAGTAACTCTAACAAAAAAAAAAGAGGAAAAAAACCACACAAAAAAGTCCCCCTTCAACCTCGTTTAGTGCCAATGTTGTGTTGCACTCCAGTTGTTTAACTGTGCATGTGAGTGGAAGTGTTCCTGTCTCAATAGCTCCAAGCTGTTAAAGATATTTTTATTCAAACTACCTATATTCCTTGTGTAATTAATGCTGTTGTAGAGGTGACTTGATGAGACACAACTTAACTTGTTTGACGTGTAGTGACTAGTGACTCTGTGACGAAAACTGTGACTCCAAGCGGTGTGTCCCTGCGTGCCTTTGTAGGACCCTTTGCACGAACTCTGGAAGTGGCTCTTATAAGCGCAGCTTCAGTGATGTATGTTTTTGTGAACAAAGTTACAAATATTGTCCGAGTCTGGCTGTTTAAGCAAACTGTGATCAGCTTTTTTTTTTTTTTTTTGTATTTGTTTTTAAGGAAAAAATACTGACTGGAAACAAAAAAATAAACTTTCTATTGTAAGTTCTCTTGGTCTGGTTTGTGCCAAATAGCAAGCGGCTCTTTCTGTTCTTCCGTCTGTCTGTCCAGTGCTGGAAGGCAGGGAGTCTGAGGCTACCTGAGCAGCCTGCCTGTGAAGGAGACCTCAGACCAACACCCTGACCCGCGACCTCCCTAACTCTGACCCATCAGAGTGCAGGGCAGAAGGTGGAAACGCTGTAGGTGGTTCTCAAGCCTGAGTCCGACCTGCCCATCTCTGAGGAAACCAAGTTAACTTGCTGGGTACAAAAAAGAGGAAGAAAGAGAAAGGAGCAAAGCACAGGGCTTTGTTAACAGCCCTCAGGGCCCACACTGATGCTGCCTCTTTCCTGAGGTCACATCCTAGGCCTCCACTTGCTGAAGAGGCTGCTGTGCCACATTGTGGCCCCCAAACCCTCTGCCTCTGACCCACCCAGGCACCCCTTCCCATTCCTCACCCTGAGCCCGGTTGGCTTCTTTTGCTACAATTAATTTGCTACAAATGGAAGGTACTTACCCCATCCTAGCTCGATTGGGAAACTCCTCAGGGCAGCTAAAGCGCAACTAGAGATTTGCACATTTACCGACTGCTTACACTGATGCCGTCTTTCCTTTTAAAAGTTATAAAACAGTAAACTTTATAAGCCCCAGTTCCGGCTATATGACATTTGGGTGCCAAATGAATAGGGTTTTGTCTATGAATTAGATCGTAAAATCATCCATAGCACAGACAGATCGGCTCACTGGCTATAAAACGTCACGTGGGGCCATTAAAGTAAGTTTTATGGTTTTGGGGAGTTGACATCCAACATTATATACCACATAACATATAATCTCACTGACGCTGGACTCCATTTGACTCTTTTGCAGGCTACGTGTGCCGCCTGGTCATTCAAATTGTCAATTTTAGGTCCAGAAGTGTCCAAACCACAAGTTCTCAAAACTCTCTGAAAAATGGCTCCCTCCGAGTTAAGGTAAGCTTGCCTCCTGAGCGCTTTCAAGTTTATTTGTACTCTGAAAACTTTCTTCCTCCATCTCCTTCCCTCCCTCCCTTTCTCTCTCTCTCTCTCTCTCTCTCTCTCTCTCTCTCTCTCTCTCTGTGGTTCAGTAACTCGGAGGTTGCCTCTGAATTCAAAAGGGCAGAGCCAACTCTTCCTCTGCCCACAAGAGCAGCGCCAGGAGCCAGCTCTGCGGAGGCACCCCGGTGAAAAGCGCCTGTGGCCGCCGCGTCCCCAGGCCTAACTTTAATTGCTGCACCACCGCGAATGTTAATGACTTCCGCTGCTCTCG